CATGCATGAGTTCTTTTTTCGTCATATGAGTTGAGGGTCCATTCTTATTTCCTTTAATGTTCTTTTCCCATCCATTACATGTCGAATAGAGCTTTAGTCAAAAATAATAATAATAAAAAAAAAAAAACTTATCCCTAATCTTCCCTTTCCATAGTACTTGGTCAAGGAGAGAAGGGCGATTAATCAAGGATAACACCTTTATTCAAGTTCTACTTTTTTATAAATCACTCAGTCGAAAAAGAAAAGCTAAGAAGATAATGGCAAGTCAAAAAGAAGTCAATGAGCTTAAGAAGCAAATGGCTAACATGTCTGAGGTGTTGAAGACTTTAACCCTTCAAATCAATTACCCTTTGAAACAACAACAAATGGAGCTCATGCAAGAAAGCTTGAGCAAAATATCCAATGACTATAGATTCCAGGGCATTAGCTCATAACGGGTCTCAGTTGACAAGGAGCTTCTTCCGCAAAAGTTCAATGCCAATGACATCCCTATGTTCAAGCCAACAGACAATCCTTATTTCCACTTAAGAGCCTTTGAAATTACAATGAGCATTAAGGGGATTGATAAGAAAGTCTTTCATTCCTTGTTTTCTTTATTTCTTGAAACCGTGTGTTAACAATAGTTCTTTTCTCTTGATAAAGAGAAAACCTCTACTAGGGATGCTATTGTAAATGCTTTCATTGATAAATATAAATGTAATATTGTAGGGAATATTTCAAGCATTACCCAAAACATGAACCCCAATGTGATCATACACTTAAGCATGGTGGCGTCCAAAGGGAAGGAAGCTAAAGAAAAAGAGTAGCAAACAAGTTTTAGGAACTTGTAAGCTGTTCACAGGGTGAAGGTTAAACCCCTTAACGATCCAAGAGATCATTAACTCCAATAGGTTTGGAACAAAGACAGGAAGTTCGGGGTTGAAGTTACAAATCCAATCTAAAAGAGAAAGAACTCGCCCTATTTATAGGCCTCTACTTAATTCTTCTCTTATTCATGTGCGCTTTCTGACTAACATGCAATCATTAGATTAACTCTAAACCTGTTTAATCTATGTTGATTGAATATTAAATGCACAAATAAATTTATTATTGGCGATCACTTGAATTATAATCATATAAACCTAAACAATATTATTAATTATCTTATTAAGCGTGATTACAAGTACAAATTCCCTTTAAACATGCATAAAAGGCGTGACCAATCAATAACAATAATAAATATCAAGCAACATAATAATAATATTCATAATCATAATCATTATAATCATAATTAAAATAATCATATTAAAGAATAATAATTGCAAGACCCTAGGCATGATACTAACAAGATTAATAACAAACCCTAACATGTCACTAAACAATAAAAATTAAAGCTTTAGCCTTCACATGATACCAACATGATATTAGGAAAGAAATAGGAAACATCATAGAAATCATAATTAATATAAGAAACATATTCTTTACCCTAAACATGATACTAACGTGATATTAGGAATCAAAATAACAATCTAAGTATGATTTCTATATCATAATATCAATAAAACAATTAAAGCACTTACTTGGATGTCTCGTATCTCTTTCTAATTACAAAATACACACGTTAGTAACTTCAAGGAAATTATAAAATAAATAATTAAATTAAATAATTGTAATAGAGATTTGGGACAAAACCCTCAGAAACATAAACCTTTCACGTCTAGGGCGAAGGCAACTTTGAACTTTGCTAGGTGTGTCTAGTGCTAATGTATGAGGAATTGTGTTTGTAAAAGGCTAGGCTAGAAAGAGGTAGAGAGAAAATAAGCTTTAGCTTAGAGAGAGAGAAGAATTAGAGGAATCTGGTTCTTGAAAAAGAAGGTCTAGGGACCCTATTTATAAGAAAATAGTCCGGAATCTATACAAACAAATCAAAATTTGAAAAGGAATAAAACACGCTTTTGTTTCCAGGGACAGGGCTTGTCGCCAAGAAACAAACATGTCGTTTGGCGATGCAGATGTTTTTCCACATATTTTCAAAGCAGAATCTATTTTTCAAATAAAATCAAGTCATAATTTCATTTAAAACACTTCATTTATTCCAAATAAAACTCATAAAACATAATTATCAATCCTAATCCCATTAGGATCCAAAAGAACCTTCTAGAAGACTATAATCAATCCTAATTGTATTAGGAATGATAATACATAATAGGCCCTCCTGTAGATCATTGGGTCGCATATAAGAACCAAACCGAGCCCAGTTTAGTATTTTGGCCATAACTTCCTCATTATTCATCAGAAATTAGCTTAAAATATATCATTAGAAAGCTCTTTTCTAGCCCAATCAAAATACACTATTATTGGACCCTTTTCATGGACTAAACTAAACTGGATTGGATATTTTCCTAAAATAGAGCAGGTTTGCGAAACTAGAAAGAAAGATTTTTTATAAAAAATTAACCACAACATTAGACTTTCTACACTTTTACTTCATTCGATTATTATTCGACGCGAAAGGTATTCATCACTGGGTTTGGTTTTTGGGAGACATAAATGGGTGTCTACAGAAGCCCCCACTTTTAGTGAGTTTTGAGAAACGCAAGGTTTCGAAAACAAAAGTCAAAGTAGCGATAGGAACAGAGAATGATTCAGAACGTTCTGCGATCCTAAATCATTCTTGTAACGCCGGTATCGTCAAACTAGCGTTAAACAGATAAGAGAGCTAAGAAACGTGTATCTTGCACCGTTGAGCACACGTCTCTCGGGGTAACTGATTTGTTGCATTTGCCGTTGTGACAACCTTCTGCAAGCTAAGGAACGTCATCCTGCTGTTTTGACGATCTTCCTCATGTTAGGGGATACCGCCTAAAGACTGCTACGCTTGTAACCGCCTCCATCTTCCGTTGTGATAGTATTCTTCATGCTATAGAACACTATCAAAGATTGCTTCGCTTAAAACGATCTTCTACCGCCTTCTTACCATCTTCCACAAGCTAGGGAATATGATCGAAGATAAATTCGCTTGAAATCACCTCCAGCTGTTTGTGACAACCTTTTGTAAGCTAGGGAATGTTGTCGAAGATATCTTCGCTTGAAGTCATCCTCATTTATTGCGATAATATTCCCAAAAAAATTACCGATGATCAACGCTTGTTGACCTTTAAAGATCGCTTAAACTTTTGCTTCCGCTATGCCAGTACGTCGGCGTTTTTTCTGCATGTGAACCTTTATGTCGGTGCCTCCAATGATTCAATGCTTAGGCGCTTTAAGAGAAGTGAGACGATCAATTATTAGGTCAATAACTTTTTGTGATTGTAATCGAGCCGATTACTAAATCATGTCAAATTGCTTAAAGGGGCTAACAGGCGTACAAAGGGATTTAAACTGCTGCATGAGGTCCACATAACCATATTACGGAGCCACACACTTTGTCGCCGCACCATCGCCTGCTGGAAGACGTTGTTGCCGCATATTCTGCTTGTCGCCAAGCGACAATTTTGTTGTCTGGCGCTACACTCGAGATTTTCGAATAAACCCGTCTCCTAATGCTGCTGCTGTTCATTGCCCGATTTCATTCCGAACCTTTAACTTTGTTGTTTCCTTTCAACAAAATCTGCTTAAATTAAAGCTCTTCATCTCTAATTTGTAAGTTTTGCTTAACTTCTTCTTATCCTTGGAAGAATCTCATGCATTTATATATGCGGTATTTAAAAAAAATCCTGGAATATTATTACTTGTTTGCTCTTTGGATTGTACCTCTATTTATATTTTTTCCTATAGGACTTTTCTCATCTTTTTATTTATCTTAGGGTCAACCTAAGGCTCAAATAAAACTTAATGTATTTTTAACACACATGGCTTATCATTACTCGACTCAAAATGTTTTGACACACATGACTTAAGGCGTAAACTTGTCTAAATGATGACTCACTACGTGTGACTCGTATGTGCAAAGTGAAGACCCACGACTCAATGTGTACATGACTTGAAAAAACAAAAATTTCCGTCATTTTCGTGGGAGGGTAATGACTTTGTCCCGGAATTAATGTAAATGTTTGAGAGTGCATGTTGAATGAGCTTAGCCAAGTATATGCGTTTGATGTTGTCTCTCAAGGTGCAAGGGTTAATTCATTCTAGGTTATCCTAGTTTACTCAATAATGAAAGTATGAGGTAACTTAGGCATGGAGGCTAAGCACTCCATACTTTGTGATACGGTAACGATTACAAGCGATGAGTTATTTTGATATGACAAGGCATGCTTAAACGTTGTGTTAAGATTTCATGACAAAGGGTTCCTAAGGGAAGTATACTTGGTCATGTATCTGTGCAGTGTGTGATAGTGACACTAAGGTTAGGCCGTAAGGGCTAAGTGTGTTGAAAAATATATTGAAAAAAGTCAAATGGTGGTGACTCTTAGGTAGGGTAGGCTAATAGTGTAGGGATCAAGCCCCCAAGTCTAGCTCTAATTAGATAGGGATAAGCATAAGGGATCCCTTAATATGATCAATCACTACAAGAAAAAAGGTAATTAGCGACGGCCAAAGTAGTCACAAATCCGTCGCAAAAATGGATTTGCGACGGATTTGCAACTACTTTGGTTCGTTGCCAAAGACCTCGTCGCAAATCCATTTTTGCGACTAATTTTTGGACAGTCGCAAATTTAGCGACGGATTTGCAACGCCTTTGCAACTACCATTTAGCGACTAACTTTCAAATTTTAGCAACTAAATTATTGTCCGTCGTAAAATATTTGCGACGGATTTGCAACTACTTAGACCAATGTTGTAAAACTACTTCTACGACGGATTAGCGACTACTTTGGCAAACTTTTGCGACTACAAGACTAAACTTTTTGCGACTACGGAGACTAGCTTTATTGCGACGAATTTGTGACTATTAAGACTAAAGTTTTTTGCGACGGATTAGCAACTACCTACAAGACCAAAATTTTGCGACTACAAAATTTTTGCGACAGATTAGAGACTGTTGAGAATAATTATTTTGCAACTAACCAATCAGTCTCTAAAACAAATAAGCAGTCGCTAAATTTTTGCAACTGACTATCAATATTTAGAGACCATAATTTAGCGACGACCTATATCAATTCTAAACAAAAGCTACCCACGCATAAATTCAAATAACAAAAATGTTAAGTTTATTCAAATATCTAACATATCATCAATTTTGTATTAATGTTTTAAAAAACAATATTCAAATCCATATGACTAATTGTTTTCTTCCGCCATCCTTTTGAATTCTGTAACTTGAGAGCTTAGTTGAGAAATCATGGAAGGAGTGGAAGATGATGTAGTAAGTTGAGAAGTAGGATTGCTCTTGTAGTACATTTGTGAAGCACTCCCTAAACCGCAGACTTTTCCTTTCTTTTGCCCACCTACAACCTCCAAGTAGACTTTATCGGGGTTGATCTCAATTCCTTTGTTCTTATAATCCTTTTTCCATGTATTCTTCCTGTACTAAGATATGTATTAGTGACTATGATCTCAAATGTTAAAACTTATAAGACTAAAACATTTATAAAATAAAGTAATTATTAAAAAAAATGCAACACTTATAGTAAAATAATTATTGTAAGCAATTATTAGTAAAAATTTCGGCAGAGTCTCCTTTGTAAATTGAAGAATTCCCTCCAATAGGGTATAGCTTCAAAATAAACCTGTTCGAATTCACATTATGCCATACCACATTATAATTAATGCTGGCCAATTATTCTCATCCTCTAAATCAATCAAACAAACAAATAAACAATCTATAATATCCCTAAACATTAACCACCATATATTTTTTTTTGTAATATTAGTAAAATATATAAGTATACTCATACCATGACTTGATGATTCTTGTCACCCATCAATTCAATTTCATCATTTCCCACACATACAAAATGGGTGCTCTCATAGACTTCAACAACTGTTGTTAAAATTCCATCCTTTTTCTTTGCCTTGTATTAGAAGAAATTGTTAGCACTAAAAAAATTAAAAAAAATAATAAAAAAAGGGACATGGACTGTAGAGCAATTGTAATAAGAATTAGTTATAGTCATCTCTTAGTGACTAAAAAGTTTCTACTTACTTCAGTCTTATATTAAAATTCATAAGTTTGCCACTGAAATCATACACTTACCAATTTTTTTAACCACCTAAGGAGAAGATACGCTACCTAGGCGATGGCCAGGGTCAAACTTATCTAATGTTTTCTTGGTTAGGATGTTTCAAAAAATCATGATGCTTATGCTTATCTATGAATTCAGCTCGATCAGTGTCATTCTTGAGACTAACTTCCTTGTGAAGAGCCATTTTGTAAACTTGGTTCAATGTACCCCTAAGTCGGTCCCCGACTTTTTTGTCAAATTATCTCCTATCCTTAGCATCGTACTCAGGTCTCAAGGTATATGTATGTTGCACATAATTTACATGTAAATTGTATAATTTTAACTCGACATAGCATAATATACATAAATAATCTCTAACTTTTTTTACAAATACTATCATTAATGCAATTAAGGATTATATTACTTTTTGTAGTGTGCTTGTTTATATAATGAAACAAGACATAAGAACCTGTTATTTCAGGTTTATTTAACAAAGAGCAGCCCAACTTCCATCAAGTCATAAAAGTACACAACCATTCAATTCTCCACCTCTTCAATACAATCATTATAAACTAGTAAGATAATTTTAAAATTCAACGACATTTAGCAAAATAAAGATTCAATAAAAATCTACTATGACACTAATCTTAAATCTATGAAAGTTAAATTACAAAGAATAGTAGTATGTTGCTCAAGAAAAAAAAGTAGTTACATTTTCCAAGATAAAACCTTTCCTATATTGTGTCCACCTCATTGTCTCTCCCTCCACTCTCCATAATTATCATGGTTGACCATGACATGACTTGTCATCATCTCTCTTTCATAATCAAAAGCCATAAAATCTCATTATAACATCTCGTCAATTGAAGACTCACATTCCTACCTTTACCTCACGGCCTCACCCTTTCACCCAAAATTAATCATCTAAGAAGTTGTGCAGACTTTATTTTTCAGAAGTTCAGGAATAATGGAAGATCTAACTTCTACCCAGGCTTTCAGTCACAAAAAAATAGCGGATAAGGTAGTGTTTATAGCACCTCTTTGGACTCTACAAAAATAGTGGAAGATATCTAGTTCCTATATTTTTGGAAGAATACTTTATCCTGTGGCTTCTGCAGCAGTGTTTACACATTTTTTTTTGCTTCTGGATTCAACAAGGTTGGTATTACGGATCAATAAATGGGTATGAATAAGTCATCTGGATAAATTCACATTTTAAATTCTTTCGTTGACTGGGTGCTGCAAGTTTTTAAGAAGCTGGGGGTAGAGGAAAGAAGGTGGGTGGTCTTGGTTTATGCAATTTGACGAGCTAGGAACAGGGGTCTCTTTGAGAATGAGTGGAAGGGCCCGAATGAATTCTAAGCTACGTTGGGGGCTGATGGTTAAGATGGACAGTGAGGGACATGGGAAGAGAGGTGGAAGTGTTATTAGGGAAAAGAATCTCAGGTGTGCTCCCACGGGTTCCTTTATAAAGATTAATGTTGATAATTTTCATGTAAACATTACTTCTGTTTTATAAAGCCTTAATTAAGCACGCATAATTGAACCCAATTCTGACAAAACGAAATTCTAGCACCATAATTTCACTAATCAAAAGCTGATAGCCTGATATTATGAATTTCATTTTATTTATTCATTCTTTCATGTGCCTCTGAGATTGAGGGATAGTTTTTGTCCCTAGCATATTAATGCAATTGTGACATGTGTTAGTTATTGAGTTGAGAAATGGCTTAAATTCCTTAGAGAAGAACTAACATATTACATTAATCATTGACTCATATATTAAAAAAGATAAATTATTAAACATGCAGTAAACATACCTAATCAAGGTTTTTAGGAGTTAAGAGTTAAAAACAATGTACAGATTATTAAGGGTTTGGTTATTGTTGAAAAAAATCAAAACTTTATTCCCATATACCCAAATAAAATCGGGAAAATTGCATAAACACAATTTCTATTTCACGAGAAGGAACACAATTTCACAATTTGTATAATCATCAATCAGATTTCACAAAAACAAGATAGTCCAATTGCGGAAAAACACAACCACACACAATTCAGCCATTCTTTACCAAGAAAAACTATAGAAGCTCGCTTGAAATTTCAGAAAGGGATCCAAATAAGCATTAGTTAAGCACACATAATTGAACCCAATCCCGACAAAACGAAATTCTAGCACCACAATTTCACTAATCAAAAGCATGAGTAAAAACCTAATACATCAAAAGCAAAATTCAGCTTATGAATTAGAAAACAAACCTTAAAGTATGTGTAGTTATCTGAGAAGCCGCTTCAATGGAGGAGAAAGCTCAAAGTCGCTTCAATGGATGAGAAATCTCAAATGCGCTTAAGTGTAGTTATCGCAGACTCGTAGTGTGAGAAGAGAGAGGGGTTTACAAATTTTTGTTTTGGGGTTTGTTTTACGGAGTACAATAGAAGTATTTTTTTGGTGCAAGCAAGGACGATAAGGAATAAGGAGTGATAGTTCTTGTTTTATTGGCGGCAACAACTTTATTATACTAAGGGTTTTTTATTTCTTTTTTGATAACTTTTAAAGAAATGGTACTCCCTCCGTCCCTAAATTACATTTCTCTTTGAAAATTTACACGGAAATTAAGGAGAGAAGAATAAGACAAATAACAATAATTAGATAATGCAATGGGAAGTACAAAGATAGGATAGTTATTACTCATGACTACATGTCATCAATCCTTTGCAAAAAAGGACCAATCACATGCTCCTAATTGAAAATTTTTAACCAATCATATTCATTGTAATTTGGCACAAGGATTATGAGTCAGATTAGGTAAGGATGAGTGAGAAAGCATTAAATATAAAACAAAAAAAGAGAGTTGATTTACTAAAAAAAACTTACCAAAGATAGAAAGGAGGAATGTAATTTTGGAATACCAAAAATAGAAAGGAGGATTGTAATTTAGGGACAGGGGGAGTAGCAACTATCGTGTTAGTTGCAATAATAGTCGCAATTTTTTTTAAAAAAAATGATTTCAAAATTATTAACACCAGCAACTACAATTTAGTCGCAAATTGTTATAAGAGCGTCGCAGATTAGCAACCACATAGCAACTATTATAAAATTGGTAGCAATTTTTGCGACTACTCGTCTATTTCAGTCGCAAAAATATTTTTAGTGACTGATTATTATGGTAGTCACAAAAATCAGACAGTAATTAGCGACCGCATAGCAACTACTGCAAAATCGGTTGCAAAATTTGCGACTACTCGTCTTTTTTAGTCGCAAAAATTATTTTTGTGACTAATTATTATGGGAGTCGCAAATATCAGTTGCTAATTCCCCTTTTTCTTGTAGTGAATTATGAACGCAAATATGAATGCATTTTTATGACGGCCGCATTACTTTGTGAGGTTGCTTACGTATCCGTTAGGAATCAGGCCGAACGTAGCTCTAGCCAAACCTCGCACAAGTTTGTGTATACCTTAAAGAGGTCTTTTAAGGGTTGTAACGTGGTTATGCTAAAGGTTTGAAGAAGAAGGGGATAAAGGCTCAAGACCTTAGATAAGCCCCTAAAGTGTGCAACCTTGCATTTGAATCCTTATATTATTATGCTTGACATTTCTCACTTTTGAGCTCTTTCTTTATTATTTTCGCTCACTTTTTTTTGTTTTTGCGTTTTTTTATTTTGAACCTTTTTTTTGATAAATGTGGGAAATCCCGATCACGTAGTCTATCACTCACTTGGCGTTCATGTTTCTCAGGCATGGTACCGAGCACTCGATAAGAGACGCAATATGAGACGTGTTATATCAAAGACATGTTTATATCAATGACATTAGAATACTTTCCCTTTTGTACAGTGTTATTATTTTTTTGCTATTTTTTTTTTAAATCATCAAGATTTTTAAATTGCATAAGTTACACACCATCCCATCCCAAGGTTAGGTAGATGTGGGATCAAAAAGAAAAGTCAATCGTTAGATGAGGCTCAATGTGGTTTATAAAGAAAGGATTGTATATTTTAAAGGGTAAATATGATATGATAGGCTACAAGGGGTGCCTCAAATCATTGGTATACCTTGTGCTTGGTTTGGCACAATTTTTTTTTTTTTTTTTTTTTTTTTTTTTTTGCGAAGTAATGCAATGATCATATGCAAGAAAATAAATGCTCATTTTATTAAAAAGGAAAAAAGAAAAAACCTATAAAGTATATCTAAGGAAAATAAAAGGTGTTTATGCTAGACTTATTAGGGAAAGGAAAAGAATAAATAGAAAAGAGATCATGAAATCTTGTCATTTAAGCTTGCCTCTTGTCCTTTACCTTATCGTCACTTGGTGTTCTTGCTAACTGGAGGTATTAGAAGCCTGTTATTGTCGATCAAATATTAGATACCTTCCTTTAGCTTCCAACAACCCTCAATAGTATAACCCCCACCTTGATGGTACTTGCAGTGTACATTTGGGTTCCAACTAGGCAATCTCTTCTCAGGTGGGGGATCTTGAATGGGTCTAATGGGAGTAATGAGTCCCTTGGGATGGAGTTGATTGAAACCCGCATCGTAGCTAATTTCTTAGGGGTGAAATCCTTTCTTAGTTGCTTTCTAAGTCCTCGATTATCCATGGCTAAGATTTCATTAAGGTCAAAAGTACCAACATTTTTACTAGAGTAGGTGTTTTCAAAAGAAGAAGGATAGTCGTTCTTCTTTCCTTACAAGCCACTGTTGTCATCATTACTAATCTTGGTCCTCGTGTTGCTTGGAAGAACATGGAGGAGATTTGTATCAATGAGGTCTTGAACGCGATCTTTGAGGATGAAACGTCGTTCTGTATTGTGATCATGGCCTCTATGGATTTGATAATGAGATCACTGTTCGATAACCATTATCCAATCTCTTAATCCTTCTATCGCACCCATAAGCGTGACAACGGTATTTTGTACTTCCTGAACAGCCTCTTCTAGACTTGATGAACTTTCACTAATATTACTTAAGAAAATTTCTTTTTCACTGGCCATTATTACAACCCTTTTTGTTTTATAAAAGAGCGATTCTTTACCAAAGGTGTTGTCTCGGTTAAATGCTCTTCTCTCCTTGATCAAGTGCTGAAATAAAGTACGTGTTATTTTATTATTTTTGGCTCAAGCTCAATTCAACATGCAATCGGTAAGACGACAATAGGAATGAATTGGTCCCCTCTATAAAAAATGACGGAAAACACGCGCATATAAAACTCTATAGACATGGTCAAAGTGTACGTACTTATTAGTGTGTGATTTATTTGTGAGTGCAAGTGACATGCTTTGACTCTTTTATATGACCATAGGACTACTGCCATTAAGAAAATGATTAAAATGATTAATAAACTGTTTAATTAGACTCATTGTGATGACTCGAGCATGAAACTGAACTGTCGCCGAAGCAACAGGATTGTCGACACACACTGAAGTGCAGCGCCAGACGACAAGATTGTTGCACGACGTTGCACATCAGCGTTTGTCACTACATCCCAGATTTTGGCGCTATTACTGGAACATTAATCTGGGATTGCTTTCAGTATTTTTACTCTACGGGGACAGGCCTAAAGTCATATTAAGTCAGTTTTGATTAATTTATTAAACTTTAATTACTCAAATTAATTAATTGATTAATTAGGAAAATTCCATTTATTTATCAATTAGTTTAATTATAATTAATCACAAGTCAAACAAATTGTTAAGAAAAAACATATACAGTATGCACAACAAATAATGCATAAGTAGTCAAGTAGGCACAATATGATGCAATGAGTTTGCAACCTAACCATGGCTCTAGTTCTCTAATGTTTGGGATGTAGGTTAGTCAAAGAGGGTATATGGTTATGAGTCTGGATGCACCGCACGGAAGCCTTATATTTGGAAGAGTTGGCACGTGTGGATGGGACCCCGCGAGTTAAACTCGCTTCCATGGTTTGGCGAATTTAACATTCTCGGATGTACCCTTTGTTGCTCACAGTGTCTAATCGGGTAGATGGAGCATGAATTCTCAGAGGGTTATGTCCATATGTAGAACACATATGGGTTTTAGAAAAGAGAGAAAAACTTAATTAGACAGTAGAATCGAGCCAATAATGCTAGAACTAGTCAAAATAAGAAGGTAGATTTTTAGCTCGGTATTGGAAAATCACGGCGCCAGACAACAGAGTCCGTCACCAGAAAATTGCTCTATCGCCAACGACAAAATTGTGGCCAGGTGACAAGACCATTTTTTCAGCGACAAATGCTATTTTCTAGACGCTAGTTCCTACATGCCTCAGCAGCTTTCTATATTCTTAGAATTTTCAAATTGTCGCAGTATTATTTCGATTCTAGTTGTTAAAGATATTCATCAAATTTCCTACATGTTAAAATCCTATATTTTTTACTCATTACGGATGGTCTTTCCAATGAGAACCTTTTTTATGCTTATGCTAATAATGTTAATCAAAATTACGCACATGAAATACTTAGAACTTGTTTAGTCTCATCTACTCATTCAAAAAAAAATTTAGGAATTAAAATAGAAATCCTTCCCAATGGTGTCTCCAAAAACCGTGGGGAATATATCAAGCATTACCCCAAACTTGAATCCCACTGTGATCATACACTTAAGCATTGTGGCGTCCAAAGGGAAGGAAGCTAAAGCAAAAGATTTTCCAACAAATTTTAGGAACTTCTAAACCGTTCACATGGTTAAGGTTACACCCCTTAACGATCCAAGAGATCGTTAACTCCAATAGGTCTGGAACCAAGACTGGAAGTTCGGGGATGAAGGTACAAATTTAATCTAAAAAAGAAAGAACTTGCCATAATAATAGGCCTCTACTTTATTCTTTTCGTATTCATGTGCGCTTTCTAACTAACATACAATCATTAGATTAACGCTAAACCTGTTTAATCTATGTTGGTTGAATATTAAATGCACAAATAAATCTTATTATTGGCGATCACTTGAATTATAATCATATAAACCTAAACAAGATTATTAATTATCTTATTAAGCGTGATTACAAGTACGAATTACCTTTAAACATGCATAAAAGGCGTGATCAATCAATAACAATAATAAATATCAAGCAACATAATAATAATATTCATAATCATAATCATTATAATCATAATTAAAATAATCATATTAAAGAATAATAATAGCAAGACCTTAGGCAGGATATTAACAAGATTAATAACAAACCCTAGCATGTCACTAAACAATAAAATCAAAGCTTTAGCCTTCACATGATACTAACAAGATATTAGGAAAGAAATATGAATCATCATAGAAATCATAATTGATATAAGAAACTTAGTCTTTACCCTAAACATGATACTAACATGATATTAGGAATCAAAAAAACAATCTAAGTATGATTTCTATATCATAATATCAATAAAACAATTAAAGCACTTACTTGGATGCCTCGTATCTCTTTCTAATTACAAAATATACACGTTAGTAACTTCAAGGAAATTATAAAATAAACAATTAAATTAAATAATTGTAATAGAGATTTGGGACCAAACCCTCAGAAATATCAAACCTTTCACGTCTAGGGTGAAGGCAACTTCGAACTTGGCTAGGTGTGTCTAGTGCTAATGTATGAG